CCATGTTAAAAGTGAAAATTCCACAACAGAGGAAATGATAAAGTTACAATGATAAAGCAAATGCCAACAGCTGTACAGTAGCTTCCTAATCAAAATGGCATTTCCTTACAATATTTGTAATAAAGGAGTTGGCAGCACAGGAAATGATATATTTTCCTCAACTCCTGCTTTTTTTAATCAGCATTCTTTAATCCAGTATCTTTCTGATTTAAGCAAGAAGGTAAGCATATGCAGATCTTCTCACATTGGATTTATTTCCGCACAATGTGAAAAGGCCAAAAAAAAAAAAAGAGAGAGAGAGAGTTCTAACAAGGAAGGGATGATACATGGAAATACTGACTTAAAACACAGAATAATAGACTGCAGAGCGAGAGAGATGCCAGAAATGAGGAAGGTCATTTTTTTTCTCCTTTGATGGACAGTCTAGAAACATGAAATATAAACAAACAAGTATACAAAACAAAGGATTTGTAACTAAGCGTTTGCTGCTGAAATCCGCATAGAATCTAATCTGACCTGTTGCTTCAGTGAACAACATCTGACACTGTTAAAAAAAGGCCAATTTCATATTGAGCTAATTTCATATTAAGGCATGGCTTATCAGGATTTGGGCATTGGACATGCAATTGGAACTTGGAGAACAGAATATGGAAGATTCACGTTGAATGGTTGACCAGTGGGTGAATAAGCCATCCAGTGTCCTGTCCTGTCCTGTCCAGGGGTTGGCTTCAAATTTTTTAGCAAGGGGCTCTCTGCCCTAATGACTGGCTGGGTGGTCATGTGACCAACTCGATGCCATTTCTTTGTCCTAATTACCTTAAAAAAAAGATATATACCAAAAAGTTGTTTATTATTTCCTGCATTTAATACTTAAATAAAAGACTGGGTGAAACCAGGCTTAATAGCAAGTGACTGTGAGAGGGGTCTTGGGAGGTCTTAGTGGAGTTTTCTGGTGAGTTACGTGATTTTTATTATTTGGGAATTAATCCCCTCGGAGGCTAGTGGCTATGTTACCTGGTTTTCTCAATGGCTCTCCCTTGCAAGTGCTGAGCGGATTGTTTATCTAGCTTGCAACACTTTTACGAGGTGTGAGGTGCTCTTGGCTGAATGCCCAGAAGTTCAATTAAGCCTATTAGAGCTTTCCCTTGCTGCTTGTCTTTCTGAGGTTATTGGGGGCTCTCTGAGACCCGCAGAGTCTTAGCTAGAAGCTCTCTCAAGCCCCTGCAAGCCCCTAGCAGCCCACCCCTGGCTCCTGCCCTATCCTAGCCTATTCCATTATATTCAGTCTATTCTATTGTTCTGTTCCATAAGTAATCCTCAACTTACAACCAACGGTGGGATTCCCGATTTTTTCCCACCGGTTCTATGAGAGCGCCAGAGGTGGTATTTGCCGGTTCTGCGAACTAGTCAAAAATTCTGCTACTGGTAGGACACAACTGGTCCGAACTGGCTGAATACCACCTCTGCTTACAACCATTCATTCAGTGACAGTTCGAAGTTACAGCAACACAGAAAAAAAGTGACTCATGTCCATTTTCACCCTTACAACTGTCGTGGCATCCCCACTGTCGTGTGATCAAAATTTGGACGCCTGGCAACTGGCTCAAAATGATGACAGTTGACACCTCCTGGGGGTCACGCGATCCCCCTTTGCACCTCCTGACGAGCAATATCAATAGAGAAAGCAGATTTGCTTAACAACCGTGTTCCTAACAATGGCAGCAGCAAGGAATGTGGTAAAATGGGACCAAACTCACTTAACACCTGGCTTGTTTCGCAATGGAAGTTTTGGGGCCTCCACTGCGGTCGTACATTGAGGATGATCTGTATTTTATTCCTATATATGTATTATATATGGAGAGAGAGAGAGAGAGAGAGAGAGAGAGAGACGGACAGACAGACATTTCATAAAAAATTTGAATACAGTGTATTGTCAGGGCATATCATTTACAGAAAAGCAAAGAAAGAACAAACAGGAATATTAACATTATACTACTAATAATAGTGTAACAGAATAGTTTTGACTGGATTTCTCTTTATATTAGCTTATTTGTAATCTGTTGGTTATATTGGCATATTTATAATTATAAACCATCTTTATATTTAATTCATGTATAGCAATAATCTTTCTTCAACTAATTTCTACCTCTTAACTCTAACCAGTCATAAAGTCTATTCCATGGTTAAGTAGTAGTCTGTGTCTTTGTTGTCCTTTCTTTTTAATGTCAATCTATCCATCTGTGCACAGCCTAATATTTTCTAAATTACATCCCCATCCAATGGAGCGTTCTCATTTTTCCAATATTGTGAAAATACAATCCTTGCTGCTGTCAATACATGCAAAACTAGATATATAGTCCCTTTATCATAGCCTGGCAATATACCCAACAAAAATATTTCTGGTTTCTGCATTCTATTCCTACTCCGCTCCAAATGAATACGAGTGATCAATTCCTGTGTTGGTCACTGCAGGGTTAAAAAACAAGATTCTGCTTTTTCCAACAGCCAGGGACTGTCGTTATTCCCAATCTCGTTTGATGCCAGGTTTTTCTCTTACTCATCCATGCATTTGTGTGAATGATTGAGCCTAACATATGCCCAGGCTTCTTCTACGATGATCGTAACACTATAATCAATCAGGCATTTTGAGAAGGGTAACTATAATGAGAACTGAGAAAGCGATTGGCTTTCCTATCGTTCACAACAAGGCAGGCCCTGCCAGCTTATAAAGACCTCCTGCACAGGAGCGGCAAGAAATAGCGAACACAAAATGTACCCTCTTGAGCAGTGAATACACACTCCATGCACGTAGCTGCACAGGCAATCATGCACACCTATCAACAGAAGGAAACAAGTGGTTATTACAAGCATGCACGCCCGTTTTAACAGGAGATCTCAAGGTCCCTAAAGGAGAACTTATACAGTGTGATGATCCAGGGTGGGATACAAAATAAACACAGTCACAAAAAACAGGTGAAGCGCCTTTTGTTCTTTCACTTTGCTTCCAAGCTCCAAATATCCTTGACTGGAGATAAAAAAACTCCCACACAAGCCGTTACAAGGAGGAAATGCTGTTGAAATAATAAAGAGTAAAAAAACCAACAAAAACCAAGCACGGTAAGGGCTGGAAGATGTCCACAACTATTAGAACACACACTGGGAAGGAGGCCAAACTCAGAGAGCCACAATAAACTAGAGATGTTTCCATGCTTTGTTTCCAGCACTCGCCTCACGCATGTCCGTCCTCTTATTCAGTTGTCACAGCTGCAGCCCATGAAGAAGATCAATGCCTTCTCCTCCCCCATAGACCACGTCTCTCCCTGATCCTCTCCTCCCTGCATGCTCTAGGATGGATAGGGGATGGGGCCTGGGTCCTCCTCGGACTGCTCAGCCGGCCTCTGCCCTTCCCCAGCCTCCTCCACAACCTCCACAGCCACACTTCCACTCTCTGTCAGCTATTCCTCCTCTTCCTCCGAATCAGTCTCCACCAAGGGCATGAACTAAGCTGCTATGGGTTATTCCTCGATTTGTGACCGTTCAAGGTTACGATGACACTGAAAAGAAGTGATTCGTGACCATTTTTCAAAGTTATGACCTTTCCAGCATGCCCACGGTCATGCGATCAAAATTTGGATGCTTGGCGACTCATACTTACAACGGGGGCAGTGTCCCAGGATCGCTTTGTTCCCCTTTTGTGACCTTCTGACAAGCAAAATCACTGGGGGGGCGGGGAGCCAGATTCCCTCTTCCTAACTTAACAACTGCAGTGATTCACTTAACAACGGGGGCGAGAAAGGTTGTAAAGTGGGGATAAAATTCACTGAATGAACATCTCACTGAACAACAGAAAAATTTGGGGCTCAACTGTGGTTGTAAGCCAAGGACTGCCCGTACAAGGAATCCTTGGGTTATGACCACAATTCAGCCCAAAATTTCTGTTGCTAAGTGAGGCATTTGTTCAGTGAATTTTGTCCCATTTTACCACCTTTCTTGCCATAGTTGTTAAGTGAATCACTGCAGCTTTAAGATAGTAACAGACGGTTGTAAAATGAATCTGGCTTCTCCAATGACTTTGCTGATCAGAAGGTCACAAAAGGGGATCACGTAATCCTGGGATACTGCAACCGTCATAAATATGAGCCAGTTGCAAAGCGCCTGAAGTTTGATCACCTGATCGTCGGGATGTTGCAAATGTCTTAAATATGAAAAACAGCCATAAAACACCTTTTTTCAATGCTTTTTTGCCACTGATTTTGAATGGTCACTAAACGAACTGTTGCAAGTTAAGGACTACCTGTACCATGCTTATCTTCTATCAAGGGTGCAAGAAGCATTTCTGCCATCAAATCCTGGAAACGACGTGGCATTCAGCAAATTCTTGCTTTTCAAATTGTATATGTGACCATGAATTTAAATCTTGGATGAATTACAGGGAAACCCTTAAGAACAGGGGAGACATGATAACTATCTTGCAGTATTTGAGGGGCTGTCCCAGAGAAGTTGACTTATCCTCCAAAGAACCAGAAGGCAGGACAAAAAACAACAGGTGGAAGCTTGTTAAAGAGAGAATATCTGAGGGGCCACAGAGAGGAGGGGGTCAAGCTATTTTCCAAAGCACCCCAAGTCCAGACAAGGAATAATGGATGGAAACTGAACTAGGAGAGATTCTACCTGGAAATAAGGAGAAACTTTCTGACAGTGAGAACAATCAGCCCATGGAACAGAAGTTGCCTTTGGAAGTTGTGGGAGCGCCACCACTTGAGACTTTCAAGAAGAGATTAGACTGCCATGTCAGAAATTGTGAGGAAGGAGAAGAGGAGGTGGAGGAGGATATGGTTCTAAATTACACCAGAGGAGGCCTTCTCCATCTTATGACTTTCTCCCTTAGCACAGGTTAGAACATCAGAAGCATTACGTGTATACATCATTCAAGAAAACACGTTTAGGGAAAAGAGGAAGAACAGCCCACCAACTTCATGAAACACAACATGCACACCTACCTCAGCAAGACACTCGACCGTTGTTGGGGAAGACTGGGAGCCATCTCAGATTCGAATTATTTGCGCCCTTTGTTGCTTTCCAGAATGAAACCGGACCATCATCAAAAAGCTCCATGCCGAATTCCAATCACAGTGGGGAAATAATCCATCTCTCATGAACGTCAAGAATCAAGGAATCCAAGGAGGAGGGCGGTGTTTTTTTGAGGGTGTGGGGGAGAAGAACTGGCAAAAAAAACGTGCCGCTCCCCTCTTTTCCTCGTCCTCTTCCATGCTGTCTGCAAGGCGACACTCTCTGGAATCTCTGCTCCGCTTGCTAAATCCCACAGCGGCCTTGGAGATCCTTGAAGGAAACGAACAAGATGCTGAAAATGCTACAGCTATGGAATTTGCCAGGGATGAGATGGAGACCTTGAGGAAGAAGAAAAAGAAACAAATAAATAGAGATTGTTACATCAAGCAAACAACCAAGAGGAGGGGCGGAAGGAAGGACAGAGCTACACATGTTCCTCAACGTATAAATGTTTGTTTTAATGACCGTTCAAAGTTACAAAAGCACTGAAAAAGGCGACTTCTTTCATAGCTATGACTTTTTGCAGCAACCCCATGGTCGTGCGATGAAAAATCAGAGGCTTAGCAACCGACTCGTGTTTACGATGGTTGCAGTACCCTTTTGGGGTCACATGGTCCCCGTTTGTGACCATGTGAAAGGCGAAGTCAACGGGGAAGCTGCGTTGGCTTCACAGTTGTGTTACTAACAGGCAGCAGTTCGTTCACTTAACAATGGTGGCAAGACAAATAGTAGAACGGGGCAAAGCTCGCTTAAGAAATGTCTCACCCGACAATAGAAATTTTGGGCATAATGGTGGCCATCTGTCGAATACTACTTCTTGGGCATCCCTATAAGGCAGGAGTCTTTAAACTTGACAGCTTTAAGACTTGTAGACTTCAACTCCCAGAATTCTTCCTCCAGTCACGTTAGCTAAGGAATTCTGGGAGTTGAAGTCCGCAAGTCTTAAACTTGCCAAGTTTGAAGACCCTTGCTGTAAGGAGAGCAGTATAGGAATCCCAGCTGTGGGTTAAATGGGTAGAGGGGAGGTCGTGATACCTGACTGTATTCTGAAGCCCATTAGCCTAAAGACATTGCTTCCAGCCACAGGTGAGGCCTGGAATGGGGGCTTTTGTTAACCTTGCAAAGCACTAGAGATAAGACAATCCAATCCCGTATTATCTGTCAACCCAGTCCCAAAATATAAAGCAGAGACCTAAATTCTCTCTTCAAATCCTTTCAAGGTTACATTTTTTGAATAGGGTGTGATTAAAATTCCCTTCTCCTCTCTAAAACAAAAATCACCTTTGTTCCTTTTATTTCTTTATTTCAGTTCAGGAAAGCTTTTCATTCTTCAAAAGATACAGAAAATAATTTTTCAATGGAATTAACTTCCTCATACAGCTCCTGCGTATGAAACATCCAGTCAGCATTCTCTAAAATTTTATCCACTTCCTCAATTCCTCAACCTTTGGAAAACACCAAGTTACCATACCTACATTTTAAGGAGGGGGGGGGATCTATTTTATCCCAATGCCTACACGCACCTGTGGTATTTGAGAAATTGGGAAATGATTGCAGGGTTTATACATAAATAGGTAAAAAGATTTTTTTTTAAAGAAATCTGCTGTTAGTGCAGAGGTCTACTGAACCCTGCCTGTGCCTCAACTTTCCTTAAATGGTTCACTAACTTTCCAAGAGGCATTTGCTGACTTGAGCTTGAATTAAAATAAATAAAATGGTTGGCTTGCTTTGAGGAGGGCAAATGTAGAGAAACGCGTTCCACTTTGTTCCCCCAAACTGCAATGCCAAAAGCAATGCAAAATATCAGATACAATGGAATCTGATGCAATGGAAAATAACAGATGGAAACTTATCAAAGAGAGATACAACCTTGAACTAAGAAATTTCCTGACAGTGAGAACAATGAATTGACCATAAAATGGAGAAAAACTCAATTAACAACTGTCTTGCTTAGCAACAGAAACTTGGAGCATAACTGTGGTTGTAAGTCAAGGACTACCTGTACTAACTAGTCCAGTATTTTTCAAATTTAACAATGCATGGCCTATAATTTCCCAGAATTCCCCAGTCAGCACTGGCTGGGGAATTCTGGGTCTGGAAGTCCATGCATCTTAAAAGTTTTCCAAAGTTTGAGAAAGAGTGCACTAGACTGCCACAAGATATAGTGTTTAATGTTATTCCTAACTTAGATGAAGAGTTGAAAAGATGATCAAACAACACAGATAACCCTGAGCCAGAAGCGAGTGATGTTTTAAAAGAGAAATAAAGGATAAAAATAATAATAATAATCTAGGCAGCCTATATAGGAGAAGGATCCGGGTACCAATGTTTCCTACAAATGGAACATGAGCCAAGATCGTGATGTAGCTGCCAAAAGGGTAAATGCTATCTTGGAACGCATGAACAAGAGCAGAAAGTCCAGAAAATGGGAAGTAATTGTTCCATTTTGCTCTTGTGAGGCCCTACTTAAAAACAGTATCCATTTCTGGACACTGCAGTGGAGAAGAACATAAAGAAACTGGAATCAAAAGTACAGAGAGGATGAGGAATGGCGAAAGGATGCACTATCCATCCACAGTGTTCTCCATTATGTGTCTCAACCGAAGGGAGTATCCAGAGGCTGCTGGCATTGGATAGCTATAATAAATTCAATGAAACTTCATTGTGTTTATTATCATGTTTGGTATAGTGCAGGGGTGTCAAACTCATGCCCCCCCCCCCAGTTTCTAGCCTGATGCCTGTTTCTAGCAGGGGGTTGGACTACAAGATCTCAAAGGTCCCTTCCAGCTCTATTCCGATCTATGGAAAGCAGAGAATCCCAGAACTAAAGGTTAAATTGGAGAGATGAAAAGAAATCTTTTTGCGGTTTTTTCCCTAAGAGAACTAAGTGTCTGCATCCAGGAAGTCCATAGGAAATCAAGCTTAGCTAAGAGATTTACTGTAGTTGCTTAATTACATTACAGAAGGAAAGGAATTACTGCATAAGAACAAACTCAATTTGCAAACTCTGAGTCAAATGGCTTTAAAAACCATTTGACTGCTCAAGGCTTTAGCACTAAATTGTCCCAATCAAGCTGCCCCTCACTTCCTCCTCCCTTGGCTTGATTAACTCAAAAGAAGCATCACCTGCCTTCAAGTTAGAATAAGCTGAATGCTCCTTTTCAAGTATCTCTCACCCCCCCCCTTTCTTTTTCTCCCAAGCCTCTTCCACCCCTTTCAACCCAACAAGCTTCAATCTGCAAAGTGCTTAAGAAAAACATCCTTTGGTGGTATGCAATGCAAATCAAACCTTGTTAACAAGTAAATTAAGAGCTACCAGGATCTTTTTATCTCCAGGGATCCATAAATGCAAATTGGATAAAACAAGGCTGTGCAAGGTTTTAACTCTTTCTCTTCTTTGGAACTGCCATATGTTTTGTGGGTTTGATCTAATCTATGGCTGCCTGATTAGGAAACCAGGCCAAAGGTGATCTTTTGAGTTAGCTTGTTAAAAATGCTATTCCTCTAGTGTGAAGTTTGGGAGGAAACTATTATTGTTTAGGGCAATGATGGTTCCTTTTTTTACTACCTGAATAAGGGCAAAAGATATCCAATTTAAGCCTTCCAATCCGCTGGATATTTTACTAAATGAAAAGATGTTCTAAGCAGGATTTTATTCTTCCTCTCAGTTGCTAGGAGTCAATTTTACTTCATGTTTAAAAATTCTAACACATCACCTAATACAGTATCAGAACTTTTTTTTAATCCTACAACTGCTTAATTTCTAATGTTTTCCTGAAAAGTACAACTTAGCTAACAATTGTATTTTTTAAAAAAATTACTCTTCTAATTCATCCTATGAATTGTGGGAATAGTTTTGGATGAAATTCTGAAACCACTGCAGCACCACATTCAATCTAATTTGAATATCTGGAGCTGTGTTTCTCAACCTAGGCCCTTGTAAGAGTTATGGACATCAACTCCCAGAATTCCTCAGCCGGCTACATTGTTAGTAGGCACAATGCTGGCTACAGCCAGGGTTCCTCAGCCAATCAGTAGCTAGAATGATGGCTGAGGAATTCTGGGAGTTGAAGTCCTCATTTCTTAAAAAGGCCAAGATTGGTCTCAAAAGTCTTGTTCCCACATTCAGTCTGACCCAAGAAGACTTCGAGCTATCATTTATTTATCATAAAGGAGAGTCCCCCAACCTTTTGAGCACTGGGCGACTGGCTCTGTGGAGAGAGGTTTTTCCACAGACCGGAGGGAGGCATGATTTTGCATGTTGCCTGTATCTTGTGGATGGCACAGCACAGTTTCTGTCATGCCGTGGCCCAGTGCCAGTCCACAGACCAGTGGTTGGGGACTCTGGCATAGAGCAGGGGTCTCCAAGCTTAGCAACTTTAAGATTTGTGGACTTCAACTCAGCTGGCTGAGGAATTCTGGAAGTTGAAGTCCACAAGTCTTAAAGTTGCTAAGGTTGGAGACCCCTGGCGTAGAGCATATCGTAACATGGACTAACAATATAAATTAACATTTCAACTAGATTAGTAGAACCCAATAAAATATACATGTTTTAAAAAATTAATGTTCAAATATCCAGACTATTCTATAGACTTTCAAACTATCAAGCTCAACAGCTTTTACACCACAGTCTGGATCCCAACCTTCCTTTATCAAAGATTAAAAGATCTGAAGATCCTGAAAGTCAGTGACCTTTACAATAATCAAAACAACAGTATTGTTCTAATTTGGGTTTTGGAATACTTCCTACCTTGGCTGTTTGTGCTTTTCAATAGGTCCTTTGATTTTGATCATACCACTTCTTCTGTTTTCCAGAGAGTCCCATAATTTTAAGGGCCTCCACTGAACTGGGTATTGGTTTTTATATGCATTATTCATAGACACAGACACACACACACACACACAAACACAAACACAAAGTTTATTTTTTTATTCTTTCAACATAATAAGCCCTAGATGTCAGTTAGCAGACACAAGAAAAAATAAATAAATGCTTGCTCATGCAAGCAAACCTCAGTCAAGATTACCGAAGTTCAATTTAATAGAGATGAGAAATCCTGGACAGAGTTATGACTAAACAATGAACCACAAGCTCCCTTTCACTTTTAGGATTTTCGCTTTCGAAGGGGTCATTTGAGTTCTTTCACTACAGTGTCTTGCTTTGTTTGAACAGGGCAATTTTGCTCATCCAAGGGCTGGATCTGTCTTAAGACCTTTCCTTACTCTGTCATAATGCAAACACCACTTTCTAAAATGTCTTAAGCTTTGTGGAGATAATCCTGGGTTCTTAACTAAATAACACACTAAACCGCAACTGAATTTGCCTTAACAAAAACATACAGATTTCTTGCACAGGGAAAGGTAGCTTTTCTACTCGGGCTGGTGTAGTGGTGAAGGCATCAGGCTAGATAGAAACTGGGGGACTGTGAGTTCTAGTTTTGCCTCAAGGATGGACCCTGCTGGGTGACCTTGGGCCTGTCACTATCTCTCCACCCTAGAAAGGAGGCCATGGCAAACCATTTGTGAAATCTTGACTTGAAAACTGCAGGGACTTGTCCAGCCAGAAGTCAAAAACTGACAAGGAAGGGAGGGAGGGAGGGAGGGAGGGAGGGAGGAAGGAAGGAAGGAAGGAAGGAAGGAAGGAAGGAAGGAAGGAAGGAAGGAAGCAAGCAAGCAAGCAAGCAAGCAAGCAAGCAAGCAAGCATCATCTCCATCTCATGTCCCTGCAGTCTCCCCGTGGCAAAAAAAAAGTCATGAAATGGGGTAAAATTCATTTAACAACTGCCTTGCTTAGCAATGGAAATTTGGGGCTCGATTGTAGTCATAAATCAAGGACTACCTCTATACTACAGTGTGATTCAGGTTCTTCCCAGCTAGCTAGGTAAATCCAATTATTTTAAAGTATCCTGGGAAAGGGCTTGTGGCCAAAATAAGATCCTGCCTCTTCCTCCTTTGCAAGCAACTTTCAGCAATGCTGAACCGAGTGCACTCCTTCTAATTGCAAACTTTTGTGCAACTTTGCACCCAAATTCTTTTCGGCTTTTCTCAGCAGTCCAAACGAGAAAGTCTGACGCAGCTTATTCAAGCCCCAAGTCTTCCCTGCCCCGTGTGGTTCGGATAAAGAGTCAGCGCAAGGACAAATTGCAGCTGCAAGTAACATTTCCAGTTGCCCAAATTAGTCAGGTAAATTCCAAACACACCTGGAGCGGGAAGCCAAGCTCCCAAGGTAATTCACAGGCCTGAGAAAGTCACAGAGAGATAAGGATATTTGCAAGGAAAGCAATCTGCCCCACTGCGCCTCTTTCATTCAGGATATTATCACTAACCACAGGTGCTTCTGATCTACTCCAGCATCAGAGAGAATGACATGATTATCTCAGACTTCTCCTCACAAAGATAAGGGATTAGTTTAATGGAAGAAGATAAAGGATTAGTTTAATGGTCCCTGCTGGGGTCCCTTCCAGACATGACTCCGAGAAGCTGAGGACAAAACAAGGAACCGGCTGATTCATCATTACAACAGGAATCACACCAGTAGGAGAACATGGAGTAGAGATACGTTTTTCCCTGAGTCAAGATGCCAACTGGTTGGTGGATCTTCAAAAGAGATTGACTGAGCCACCACAAAAGCTACTAACTTTTGAGGTCTAAGGGTGGCTCAGTAGATAATATGCTGAGCTTCTCGATCAGAAAGTGGCCGTTCAGTGGTTCGAATCCCTAGCGCCACGTAATGGAGTGAGCTCCCGTTGCTTGTCCCAGCTTCTGCCAGCCTAGCAGTTCGAAAGCACGTAAAGAATGCAAGTAGAAAAATAGGTAACACTTTGGTGGGAAGGTAATAGCGTTTCGTGTGCCTTCGGCCTTTAGTCATGCCGGCCACATGACCACGGAGACGTCTTTGGACAGCACTGGCTCTTCGGCTTTGTAATGGAGATGAGCACCGTCCCCTAGAGCCAGAAACGACTAACATGTATGTGCAAGGGGAACCTTTCCCTTTGAGGCCTAGCAACTTTCAGTTCCAGCTTTAGCATCTGCCCCAAATGCCTAGAAAATTGGAGCTTAAATGTCAGAAGATGAAAATATTCCATAATTTTTACTTTGGGGCATCAACAGGGAAGAACAAAATATGTATGCTTGAGATGCCACAAAGGATAGGCAACACAAAGCTAAATTAAAACACAGATTAGGTTTGTAATGGTCAATTATCTGATTTTGTATAGTATTACAGGTAGTCCTTGGCTTACAACCACCAAAATTTCTGTTGCTAAGTGAAAGTGAATTTTGCCCCATTCATGAGCTTTCTTGCCACGGTCATTAAGTGACTCACTACAGTTAAGTTAGTAACATGGTGGTGAAGTGAAACTGGTTTCTCCGCTGACTCTCCTCATCAGAAGGTTTCAAAAAGTGACCTATGGGTGTTGTGGTTAGCCAGCAGCAGGTGCAGATGGCTAAGGAGAGCGAGGACTCAGATGAGGGGCCAGGACCATTGGGGAGTGGACTGCTGCTTTCAGAGATTGTGGGGGCTGGCAGCAGCGATAAGGAGGTTCCCGAGAAGCCTGTGCCAAGTGCGCATGCATGCAGGATTGCTTGTAGAAAAGAGCAGCTGCAACAGCATTGGTGACTCGGGAGTAAGGCTGCAAGGTAATGGCCCCTCCTTCAAGAAGATAAAAGCCAGCTGTGAAACGAACATACTTTGCAGAAGGCAAAGACGTTTTGGAAACTCCAGCCTCGTGGACATTCCAGTATCCTGAGTTTGTATTTGAAGACTCTTATTTTGCAAATTATTTCTTGTCTATTATTTTTTGGCAAGTCTTGAAACAGTTTGGCAAGGCTTGTGTTTATCACAGCTAATTATTTTGTAAAAGCATTACAAGGTTTCTGTTCCTTTTGGATTGTTTGATTTGTTGGAAAAGGGTGTGGGTCAGAACAAATAGGACACAGCAATCATCATAAAAATGAGTCAATTGCCAGGGGTCTCAATTTTGGTCATGTGACCATGGGGGATACTACAATGGTCACATGACAATAAGTATGGGGGGGAAACGGTCCTAAGTCATTTTTTTTAGTCCTATATTACTTTTCTTCTTACAAAGATGAGGATTATATTGATACAACTAACAGCACAATTGCAAGAAACAAGGCATGAAAGACGGATAATGGCATTAGCCAAAAAAAATGTCATTATAGTCTAAAATTAGCACACAGCACGCAGAATGGAGTTGCAAACATGAGAATGTAAAAACAATTTGCAGCCTAAACAGTTTGTAAACAATGATGTCATTCCTGGCCACCCTCTTTAAAGATCCAACTGTTTAAGGAAATGCAGGCATGTTATGCAAAGAAGGAAAGGAAATTTTTTTGCAGATACATTGTCTTCCTATACCCAACAGCTCTGGAATTACAGTCAGTCCTTGACTGACGACCTCAGTGGAGCCTAAATTTCCTGTTGCTCCATGAGACATTAAGTGAATTTTTGCCTCGTTTTACTACCTTTTCTTGCCGAGGTTGTTAAATGAATCTCTGCAGGTTAAGTTAATAACATGGCTGTAAAGTGAATGTGGCTTCCCCACTTACTTTGATGGGTGTCAAGATGATGGTGTCAAGGACACTGCAACTGTCACAAATGAGTCATTTGCCAAGTGTCTTTTTGATCATGTGACGGCAGTGGTCTAAGTATGAAAAAAACAGCCATAAGTCTTTTTTTCTCCAGTGCAATTGTAACTTTTTAGTTTAGTGTTTTAGTCACTAACAAATTTATTTATATACACCTTATGACTATCATTTAGTGTTGTACCTTATGATTCTTGATGGATATATCTTTTCTTTTTATGTACACTGAGAGCACATGCACCAAGACAAATTCCTTATGTGTCTAATCACACTTGGCCAATTAAAGCATTCATTCATTCATTCATTCATTCATTCAAAGTGTTGTAAGTCGAGGACTACCTGTAATAACCCTATGAGGTGGGCTAGACTGATGGATAGTGACTGCTCTTAAGCCAGCCCTGTTTTATGACTGAATAATTACAGTGTGGGTTAAGATCTGATATTAACCACTTTAGCAGTAGCACTTAAGACTTATGTACCGCTTTACAGTGCATTTATAACCCTCTCTCAGCGGTTTACAGAGTCAGCCTCTTGCCCCCAAGAATCTGGGTCCTCAATTTACCAACCTCGGAAAGATGGAAAGCTTGAGCCGGTCAGGATCGAACTGCTGGCAGTCGGCAAAATCCACCTGCAATAACTACATTTTAACCACTAAGCCACCATGGCTCTTTACATCAAGATAACCACTCTAAAGGGACTTCTCAAGCTTCCTCAGTCAAACCAATAATTCTCTAACCCAGAAGCTACCTACTATAGGTAGTCCTCGACTTACGACTACAGTGGAGCCTTATTTGTTATGTTGTTAAGTTAGACATTTGTTAAGTGAGTTTTGCTCAATTTTACAACCTTTCTTGCCTCCGCTGTTAAGTGAATCACTGCAGTTGATAAGTTAGTAACCCGGTTGCTAAATGATTCTGGCTTCTCCATTGACATAACCTGGGGTCACTGCAACTGTCGTAAATATGACAGTTGCAAGCATCTGGATTTTGATCGCACAATCATGGAGATGCTGGAAAAGTTGTAACTGTGGAAACCAATCGTAAGTCACATTTTTCAATCGTAAGTCGAGGACTACCTGTATGAAGTGGGAAACTTGGTGCCCTGCATATCATTTGGACTACAATCCTGGATTTACTGGGGGAAGCTGAGAGCCAAATCCACCTGGACTGGCAAGCTTCTCTTCTAACCTTTCCACGGAAATGTCTAATCTTGTCTTCCTTCTATTATCATTTAAATGCCTGGGGAGAGATCTACCAATATTGAAATATTCTGAGAATGCCATACATGAGGTAACCAAGGACAAAATTTGCAGAACCGAGATAATGCGAACATTCTTTTCTCACTTGAGCCCCAAACACCTGATCAAGACAGTCTTTCACAACTTTAGTCCTGCATGAACAGACTGTGGTTTAGTCTGGGGCAGAGGAAGCAACGGGCTTGATCTGGGAAGATTAGAAATTCTTGGGGGTTTCGACTTTGAGGCTTCTCTGCTCTACCCAGGAGGCGTAATTCCTTCAATTTGGCAGCTGAATCAGTAGAAATGTGTGTTCGTGGAGGACTCATCAGCCATGCAAGACATAACAGAAAGGGGGGCATAGATAAGATCGGCTGTTAGTCCCAAATACCCTTGCCTGACTATGAATTTTCTCCAGCGCAGCAAAATCTCCATGGTATTCCAACCAAGTTTGATCACTTTAAGATTTTACAACTGCACAAGCATGTTTCTGCTCAGTGCCTCCAAAAGGGAATAGCTACAGGCCCACGTTCCACTATTTAATATTTGACTAAGTGCAATGCACAATTCTGGTGATAAGTCTAGGTCCGTGATGGCGAATCAATGGCACGCATGCCAGAAGTGGCA